CTCTTATTTATTGATTTACTTATTGATTTTGCAGTGCTGGGAATCAAAGGCAGGGCCTCCCACAGGCCAGGCAAGTGCTTTATCACTGAACTACATCCCAGCCCCACTGTGCCATTTTCTATGAGGGACAGGAGCATCTTCAAGTTTGGGTGCAGGGTCTTGGAACCAAACCCCGCAGATGCCGAGGGACATTCTGTAGACATACATGTGAATACACAGTCCACATAGATGTGGACATATGTGGGAAGACACCCAAATGAGGAGACCAGCAGGCAATTGTAAGGGTGAGACACTGGAGTGGAATCTCCCAGAGGTGAAGGGCTGCATGATTCTCTTCATTTTAATCCACTTGCACGTGAAGAGGGAACCTGTGGGCCTTGGAGGAGGGGCTGTGGGAGCTGCTCCTGCGGCCGCTCAAAGCCACGGAGAGAAGCCTCATCTCCTCCACAAGAAAATCCTGCTGTCTCTCCACCTTATTTGTCATCGACCCTGGTACCTTCTGACTATTTTTCCTGAAGACAATAAAATTCCAAACTTGCAAATGTGTGAGAAGCGACATGAACCCAAATGCTAGTTTAGAAATAGGCAAAAAGCAGCAAAAACTTCACCTAATGAAGAATTTGGGGTAACACGTAAGGCCAGCAAGTACCGCTAATTCAAGTCAGAGGAAATTAAAACTGTACCTCTTGGAGGGCCAAACTCACCCATCCACTGTATTTACTGAGATTACAAAATAGCTGATTTCCAACACAGCTCCTTCCTAGAAGGCCAGATGGAAACAGCACCATGAGGTGCTTAGAGGGAAGAGACAAGGAGGGCTGCTCCCCAGGGCCAATTGCCCTCGCCTGCTGCATGCCAACCTCAGCTTGGGGGGCCTCGAATTCAATTAATCTTCACCCCAGTCCAATCCACATGCCTGAGCGCCAGGGGCCTGGGGCTCTACAAGACAATGGAAGAAGTCAGAAAACTAATGAGAATATTTTCATAATAAACTACACAGGGGAGGCAGGAGAAGAGCCCTAAAGAATAGTAACAGGCATCAGTTCTCAAATGTGGGCTGAAATCCATTAAGCTGTTCATAAAATACGCTGTTAACCAGCAATATTCTTCGTGCAAACCATTAGTGTATCATAGACTAAAGGAGACGACAATAGAAAAGGCCAGAATGTGGGAGGGCAGGCACTTCTCAGGAACAGTTTTCAGCAACACTACAGCACACCCACATGCATGCACATGCTCAACAGGCACATATCCAGCACTCACGCTCACATCACATAGGCATGAGCACACACACACAAACATGTGCACACCTAACATGCCCGTGCACACACACCTCACACACATCTGTGCACATAGCCACGCATGCACTCATACATCTACACACATAGACACAACATTCTCACACTAACATGCTACATGTATGCCTGTGGCACATACACATGCACACACATATATAACACACACACATGCAAGAAGAATCCATCTCTTGTCAAGGCTCATGTTCAAACTTTCCTTTTACAAAAGATCCTGAAATTCTTGGCCCCAGACACAGGAACAGGAATGGTTGGGTGTGGTGTGTGAAGTGTCTCCAGAACCATCCCAGAAAGAAGGTGGAAATACTTGAGGAACTGGGTCACCCTGACTGCAATGCTCCAAACAGCTTGATCTGGCATTGCAATCCACTGTTGTCACACAGCAGGGCCAAGACCTGTGTCTCCTCCTCCAAGAGGCCTCCAAGCCCAGGCCATCAGCTGTCTCCCTCCCCTTCAGATTTACATGACCTTCGTGGCGTGTCATCAGAGTTTCTTCACGGCTTTATGCACACACAGAGTGCGTGTAGGTAGGAAGCTCTACTGGGAATAGGCAGGCCCTATGCCCTTCCAGCCAGGACATGGACTCTGCAGCCCTAGTCCATGAAGGTGGACAAAAGGAACCGGCCTGGTTCCCCATGTCAGGGAGGAGCTGGGGCAGAGCTTCACTGTCCCCCAGGAGCCATCCCGGGAAGCCCTCAGCACAGGCGGGGTGGCTCTGGGTACAGGGATGGACTTGTCTTCTGCAGCAGGAAGTAAGAAGGCCAGGTGGCACTGGTGAGAGCCGAGGTGGCCATGCCTGAGGAGCTTCTGAAAACCACTGCTGAAGTAAATGCAATAAGGACCTCAAAGAAGGAGTGGGGTACAATTGCCGTACACTGGAAAACACAGTGGTGACTCTTCCAAAACCCAGACTCAAGATCACCATATGACCTAGCCGTTCTCCTGCTGGGTAAGTGTTCAAGAGAATGGAAGCCAGGGGTGCGAGGGGTTTGCACACCCACATTACAGCAGCTTCACTAGCAATGGCCATGGTCTCAGCAAAATATGGTCAATCCATACAAATAAACACCATCCGGCCTTCAAAAAGCAGGAGAGTGGCACAAGCTACAACAGGGAGGGATGCTGAAGGCCTTGTGCTGGTCGTGGGGCCAACGCCCCCAACTCCACCTCCACGGGCCTGCAAGGGCAGTCAGGTGCAGAGACGGAGACAGGAGGGCACCTTCCAGGGGTGCAGGAGGAGTGATGGGCTTTGATCTTTGATGGGTGTGGGGTTTCAAGTGGGGAGATGGAACCGCTCATAAGGGGCTGGGGTTGTGGCTCAGCAGTAGAGTGCTCACCTAGTACGTGCGAGGCCCTGGTTCCACCCTCAGCACCACATAAAAATAAGTAAATAAAAAAAGGTATTGTGTCCAACTACAACTAAAAAATAAATATTTAAAAGAAAAAAGAAACTGCTCTGAAGCAGAGGACAGTGGTCACAAAACAGTGGACACACCAACATCACTGACGTGTGCCCTTAGAATGGGAAATTCACATCATTGTATCACAACAAAAAATGTGTCTCCCAAAGGGTTTGGCTGTAGCCCTGAGGTTGGGGGCTTTAAATGAGGGGCAGTAAAGGAGCACTTGACTGACCCTGTCTCCAGAAACACTGGATACCCCAGAACCTGGGAAGCGGAGGTGAGCTGGAAGATGGAGGTGAGCCCCCTCCACCAGCCACGGTGTGGCCATTCTAGTAAAGACTTTCACTAAGTCAAAAGGAAATGGCCGTGTTGCAAACTCACGCTAGAGGCGAAGTTTGTCCCACAGCAAGTGAGTGTGGAAACTCCTCTGCCCTGTCATCCCGAGGCCTGAGCCCTGGAGCTGCCCCTCACCCATGCCTGGGCTGTGAGTAGTGGGTTCTGTTCCACGAAGGTGACTCCAGGGTGCTGACAGTGAGAAACCCCAGTCGGGTCACCCAGACCAGGCCATGAAGACAAGAGGCATGCTGACCTCGAGGTCACAGACAAAGGATGCAGCAGATCCCCCAGTTCAAATCAGCCAACAGGAGACACCCTTTGGGAAACAACCTTTAAACCCAGGAAACGGCACAGTCTGGAGAACGCCTTCCGTAGGCAAAACAATTCACAGCAGTATTCACACGTCAACACGGCAAAACCAAAAGTCAAAATGCCACAAAAACCAGAGTTCCGCAGCAGGAGCCCTTAAATCTCCAACGGTGACAGAACAACTATAGTAAAATAATAGAATAACAAATTAGCAGCAAGGTGGCAGGGGTGGGGGCGGCCTGCCAAACAAAACCCGTGCATCTGGCTTTCAGATGGGGGATCAGCACCAACGCACAAACGTCACCAGATCCGCTCGCATCTTACAAAGAAACACCCCGCGAAGGAAATTCTTCCTGGTTTCTACTCACTAAATGATGTGACTTCAAGGGAGGCAGGAAGACACAAGTCAAGCCCAATCAAATTTAATAATGTAAGAATATATTTAGCAATCTAAAATTACTTCTGGGCACGAAACTTCCTGTAATTTTTATCTATTCTTACCCGGTTTGCGTCTGTTTTTCTAAAATGGCACTAGACGCGGTAGTAAATGTACCCAGCACATTGCTAATTTTAACCCTGGAACAATAAGGAAGCTCTAAACAATACTGAGTTGCCAAAATTACCAACCTATAACTTTAAGATGCACACCATGTGGCTTTTCCCTAGGTTTTAGAACTAACTCTTGAAATGGTGAATGACTAACACAGAACACCTCGGTGGCCCTGCCCGGCCGCAGCACCCCCTGGGAGGAAGAGGGAAGCTCCACTGTGTTCCTGTTTGGCCCAGCGGTGTCTCCTGGTGGCAGCAGCCAGGAGATGACTGAACACACGGCGCTTGTTCCCGAGAGCATGGCAAAACCTGAGAGCTGGAAAAGGACTTGCCCAAGGTATTTTTAAGAGAACAGGCCTGGGGACGTTTCTGAAATCATACGTTAAAAGAACATGACAAAAGAAAAGGAAGAAAAGGGGCAGTTACAAAGCACAGTGGAGGGAGAGCCACCAGTTAATCACTCGGAAGACTCGCTCATTGAGGGAATTACTGAGGGAAGCAAACTGCTAATGGCACAGCCTTTGTGAAATAAATCGCCCTGGAAAGTTGCCTCACTGGAGGCCCAAGAACGCAGGGTGCTCTCCCTGCACCCCACGCCACAGCGTCCTGGAGGACGGCGGCCTTGCACAGCGGAGGCTGTTCCACGGGACAACAGGGCAAGCACACGAGACTAAGTGGGAGGAAGACGATGATGGGCATGCTGCATCCCTCACTGTGCACACGAGGACCTGGGAAGCCCAGCTGAAATGCCACCGGTCAGGCACAGCCTGAATAATGTCACGCATATCTGCCCGCCTCCCAGGCTCCCTGAGACCCAGCCGCCCTGACCACTGAGCAGTCCAGCCATCCTCATCAATGCCCCACTTCCACAGAGTTCATTCAGAAGCTCCTCCTGCCCAGGAGCAAGAAGCCCGGCCAAGGAAAGAGTGAAGCACTCCAGGGCCAAGGGGAACAGCCGTGGCAGGTGAGGAGGATCATGCTCCCACCCAGGAGATCCCCCGGTCCACTCAAGTGCAGGGTCCCAGGGTGCACCGCCCCTCTCAGCCCGCGCGGGACCCCTTCCTGCGCGTCCCCCCGGTGTGGTGCCTACCTTCACCCTGACCGTCTGGTCGGCCGTGCTGCTCATCATGTCGTTGATGGAGCGGAAGAGCTGCAGCAGGGACTCCACGAAGTCGGCCTCGCCCTTGTCTTCATAGAGTCTGCAAAAGGAAGCACAGGACACTGCGGGGCCTGCGGGAAGGCCACCTGGATGGACTGCCACGGCCACGGAGCCTGCCGGGCAGGGGGGGAGGCGGCCAGCGCTGGGAGTCAGGTTGGTCAGGCAACCAGGTGGGTCAGGTCAGGAATCTGTGCAGGCCGGACACCATGGGCAGGGGCTGGCTCTTAGGGACACCACCTGCTGCTGTCTCCACCACGTGTGGAACCTTTGACAAACCCCCAAACCCACCAACACAGGAAGGGAGGGACAGAAGGAGGAGGGGCAGAAGGTGGACAGGAGGAGGGAAGGGTCATGGGGATCAGCTTCACTCCCACTCCACGGACTGCCCTAGGAATGTGGGGTGTTCTGCTGGTTACCTTTAAACCCAAACGCTATAAAATTCACAATCATGACACACTTAATAGGCTAAATCTAACATGATCTCACGACCATTTGGAAACGACACAACAATTCATTCAAGATTACTTCATTCATCTTAAGAGTCAATGTTTACTGGAAAATTTTCAAGAGCTGCAGCATATTCAATAAATTGATAACAAAGTTGTACCCTGGTAACGCGGATGCTGATATATATTGCTAATTGTGAATAAGCTTTGTCTATAAATTATTTATTAGAAGTTACTCAGAGTTGCTATGTTACTAAAAAGCAATGCATTAGCATTTTAAAATGTTGCAACTCTGATGTTTTATTAATACAGACTAGTTTTCTGCCTAATTAAAAGTATACTCTACCTGAAAACTTGTGTACAATGGAAAATTCTGTAAACTAAGTGATAATTAATTACCCTAGAGGTAATCTTACATTTAAATGAGTTCCATTGTAAAGAATTCTGTGTGAAATGGGAAATTGCAATGTTGTGTATCTGTTTTGTAAATAAAGTTTCCAAATAGATGTTTGCTTAAATGTTGTACCAAACAACTAGAATTATGCAGTCATGAACTTGTGTTTGCAGGTGGCTGGGAAGCGTTTGGCAGAATGGCAAGAACTCGGGGTGAGGCTTCAAGCCTGCAATCCTTCCCCTCCCCAGGACATTTGCCACTTCAGGAGCAGCATGGGGTCTGAGACTAAAAACCACAGTGACACTTCTACCAGAAGAGCAGAATTTTTTTTGTCCTCAAAGAAAATGACTTGAGCTTGGAAAATGCCAAGATGAGAAGCCTAATGTAACAGCAGACTCTGGGGTAAAAACACAATAGAACCTGGGCAAATGAAATGCAGATGGAGGCTCACCAGGGCCACCCTACAGCCTTGACTAGGACAATGTCTGAGAGTTGGGGACTCGGCCCATATCCAGTCCAGAAGAGGGCGGATGACTTGCCTCTGGAAGATCACATCACCTGCAGCTTTACCTGGTATCCAATGAAGTCAGTCAACTCAACAAAAGACCAGACCACGTAGCCACATCAACGAAAGAAAGACCCACAGGTAATGGGAGCCCGGCAGTCAGCTAACAGAACATCAGGATGCTGCAATCAGTGTACTTTATAACAAAGAAAAGAGAAAGATGAAATTATGGGAAATGGGAAGATAGCAAAAGAGAAGGTGAAACAAGACATTTTATAGAAAAGTGGATCTATAAAAAAGACTCAAGTGGAAGTTCTAGAAAAAAAATATAATATCTAAAATTAAGACTTTAACATATGCTTTAGCTAAGAAGTAGACAACGCAAAAGACAGAATTAGTGAAATAGAAGACAACTCACAGAAAAAATAACCACACAGAAGAGCAGAGGAGGCAACTCCAGAGAAGAGTGTTGGGAAACAAAGGGGCGATAAAGACAGAGGGAGAGTCTCGGAGCTGCATTGCCGAGGACCAGACGCAAAGCAGGCAGAGGCAGACCCGTGGACGACAGGCAGGGCCTGAGCTTTCTAAAACCAGGGGACACCTCAGTCCAAAAGCTCTCCCATCATCCCACAGAGACGGCAAAAACCCCACAGAGACACATGGTAACCGCAGCCAGCAGAAGAAACACTGCTAACTTTCAAAAACGTTAAGAATGAGTCCAAAGCTTCTCACTGGAAATGACAGAATCCAAGAGAACAGGACAAGGCCCTGAGGAAGGGACAGTGGCCTCCTCAGAAGGCTACGAGAGGAGAGATGCCCTCAGACACAGGAGGAAATGAGTCGCTCGGGCAAACAACACCAAGAGCTGACCTCTGCCAAGGGAAATCCCACAGAAGGAAGGTGACCCCAGAGGGAAATGGAATGGAGGCTGAAAAGCTGCCATCAATCCGACACATCAAGGACTGATGACTGCACAAAACAGTAACTTCTGATGGAGTTTAAAATCTATGCAGATTTAAAATGCATGATGAGGGCTGGGGTCGTGGCTCAGAGGTAGAGCACTCCTATGTGGGAGGCACTGGGTTTGCTTCTCAGCACCGTGTATAAATAAATGAACAAAATAAAGGTCCATCGACAACTAGAACAATATCTAAAATGAAAGAAAATGCATGGTGATATCAACACAGAAGAGAGGTGGAGTTCGGGTTGCCTTTTCCAGCTCTGTGGAGCATTAGCGTGGAGGGAGAGGAACGGCAGCAATGGGAAGGACCCTCTAGCTGGAGATACATGATCCCCCGGCAATCACTGAGGCTGGCAATGGAGGGCTTGCTAAACGTGGAGAGAGCAGAAAGTGGGACAGAGAAGAGCAAATCTGATTGGTTCTGAAGTAGGCGAAGAAAAGCAGAAGAGGGGAAAAACCAATGATGCCTAAAAGAGAAGGCAGTAGCTACAAACCTGTGGAATAAAAAAAACAAATGTAAGAGTTGTCAAAATCAAAACAGGGTCATTGTGACCAAGTAAATGCAGCCGGGAGGTTGGGCAGGAGGGCTCTTATGCAGGGCTGCCTGACAGTAACCACCAGGAAAGGCTGCCAGCTGCATGATGGCCCCAGGGCCACTGCAGCCCCAGGACAAAAGGGCTTCTACCCACATGCTGTGGTCCAGCTCAGACTCAGGGCAGGCTGGCTGTTAATCACCGTGGCCAAGGAGCAGGTTTCAAATGTCTGATGTGGTCCTCGTCGTGTTTGTCCTTCAAACACCCTCGTGCCTCAACCTCAACCTCTTTAAACCCATCCATGGCCACGGTGGCAGGTGCGTTCCCAGGGCAGCGTTCTGCTGTCCTTGCAGCAGGGTCATTCCCAAGGAAGCGTCGTTCCCCTTTGGAGAATCTCTTTCTGGTTTGCTTAAATGTGGATTGACAGATCCACTATATTATTTAATCACATTATATTTAAATGAATGAACTCATTAAAAGGACTGTCAGACTGAATGAAATAAAAATAGAGCCATACGTAAATATCAAGGTCCCAAAAGGCTGGAAATAAGAGTGGAGAAAAGGGTGTTCTGCACAGTCACCAGCCAAAAGGCCAGGAGAAGGTTTTCATGTTGAATACGAAGTGAATCCATAAGAAAGGCATCACAATTATAAATACATCGGTCTATGATAACACGGCCTCAAAATCTATAAACATCATTAATGTGTCTTCAATATATTTAACAGTCTACCATGAATATTGGTCGGTGAATCAGTGGGTACATGGTGCAGTGATCATCCCTCTGAAGCATCTTTCTGTAATGAAAGGTCACTAAGGAAGTCTAGAAGTTTACCTGTTGGTTTTATCACCTAAACCAGAAGAGTCACCTGTCTGACCTCCTTTGAGGTGGAGGAAGGGCTGGGAAGAAGGAACTCAGAGACTTGCAAACAAGTTAACCGATGAATAAAAACTCCTCCGCTTGCTCCATTCTAAATAAGTATTTATTAACAAGGAACGACAGGATCTTTGTCTGTTAACTAGGTTCCATTCTGTGACCCACGGAATGATAACAAAAGGACAGCTCTGCACAACTTACTCCTGATCAATAACTAATTATTCACCAAGCAAGCAGCAGATGACAGGCAAAAGCTCTACCAAGCGATAGTGAGATCTAGCCATTTGGCTCAGAAGGGCTGCTGCAGGATGGGCCTACTTTCTGGTTAATGTGATCCACCCACACAGAAAACACAGACAGACAAAACCCAGCTGAGAAGAGCCCTTGGCACTCAGAATCTTGCAGTGGGTTCCCCATGAACCGAATGTCTTGGGGCCAGAGCTTGCAAACTGCTGTTCTCATTTCAAGACAAAATGAGTTTTTTAAACAAAAAGTACAGAATCGCAAGCAAGAAAAAAAATGATAAGGGAACTATGATAAGCTTCCACATCTTCATCTCCTGAGTTTCACCTCTTTGTTCTTAGGAAGAATAATTACCGTCAATTACCCCAGAACTTAACAAAGCGACTGCATGATATGAAAACACAGCAGACCGTTTTGCAAGAAGAAGAAAAATAACAGATCTCAAAAGTTTGTTCCAACTGCAAAAAGAAAAACACACTTGTCAATTCCAGCTGTGAGCACAATTGTTTTTCTCCCAAGGTAATAAATGTGTTCCAGGTAAGAAAATGAGAGTCCGGGTTTGTTTTCTTCCCCGCCTCTGAAAACACCCCACATGAGACCTGCTCAAAGCCTGTTACAATCAACATTCCAGACAACTGTGTGGGACACTGGACAGCAGCTTCTGCAGGCAGCCTATGCAGAACTGGACTATGACTACATCTGCAGCCGGGCCTGCCACGTCACAGGTGAAGGCTTAGAAGGACAGCAGGAGGCTGGTGAGAGCAGGGCAGCGGGAGGAAGGATGAAGACTCTGGCCCTGGGGCCCGTGATTTTAAGGTCATGAGGGGGATTCTGTCCCGTAGAATGTGTAAGACACTAAATCATCCTACACAGACTCAAATTGAAGAAGCTATGCATCACACCCATATGTTTAAAGGGGTGGTCCCGCCCTCCCCAAGCCAGTGGGTGGCCAAGATTCACACTCAGGAACAGTAAGAGGGAAAAACACAAGGTTGGAGACCAGGACCAAAAGCTCATTCTGCATTTAGGAGGACAGAAGGAAGCAAAGAGGGAAGGAAACAGAGAAAGCAAAGGCCAAGAGGAACAGCCGTGTTCCCTGGGCCTGGCCAGATAGGTCTGGGAGAGAAGGAGGCCCCACCATCTTCCGAGATCCTGCTGCTCTGTGTCCTAGACAATCTCAGCTCTGCAGACAAGCAAATTATTGCAGCAAATAAACTCAGTTCAGGATCAGGCTGGCTCCTGCTGGGACCTCACTAGGACAGTGGCCCGTGGAGGGAAGCTGCTCTGCTACTGAGCACTTGACACAGAGCCCTTCCTGGGTGTGGGCAGAAGTCAGCTAAGCCTTTTACCCCATTTCTACATGAACCAGTCGCACTGAATATCTGTGGGTCACTTAAGGCCTCAGTGATCTAATATCAAAGAGGAGCCATAGATAGGAGCCCCAGAGACTGACCCACAAACTAACTAGACTCCACCAAACCTGCTCAAGGACTAGTGACCAGCAGTGAGGGAGATTCTCAGCTCCCAGGTGGCAGACATTCTGGGTTAAAGAACAGGAAGAGTGTCATAGCCCCATCCATGGTACCCTTCTCCCAGAAACTCTGATTTTGGTGAAAGCATCAACAAACCCATCTTAAAGGCCGTTCCTTTCCAGCTAGGGTGGTCATGTGACAGCTCTGCCACCTAGGTGGAAGAACACAGCCTGCAGAAGGAGGGAGGAGCCCTCTGCAAGGACACGGGTGGGCGGAGCTGTCCCTGCCTGGGCGTGCCCCCTGCTTCCTGCAGTGCAGACCTGACATCAGAAAGGAAGGAGCCGCGTAGGGACCTGAGTTGAAGAGACAGACCTAAGAATGGGGGGGCAGAAAGATAAAAGCAACAAGTGAATGCGATCCAACACTCACACGAGCCCTTTCCACATGGCTTCTATCCTAGAGTGAAAGGGCCCAGTGGGGCCAACAGAAAGCTCTCTTGTTTAGCACGGTTCTTAATAAATGCTCATGTATAAAATATGAATACTACAGAATAATAAAGCCACACATGACCTCATGTACTTTAAAGCTCAAAATCAATCCCCGGTCACCCAGATGGTACAAAACCATGTCACTGGCCTGAAGCACCTGAGTGTCCTTTCACCCACAAATGGCGTGTGAGGAGCCTCTTCCTGGAAATGAAGCTCTCTTCTGGCTGAGGAGAGGGGAGGAGGGCACCCCGGGTCTCCCGGGTGAGGCCATTTAACTTGGCTTTGGCTTTTCCTTACTGCTGCCTGTTTCCCTTTGCTTGCTCTTCGGGGCTGTTTGCTAGATAAAGACATACTGAGAAGAAGCCCAGAGCCCTGGTCAGCACCCGGCAGGACGTGGGGAGCGTCACTAACACCTCCAGCAGGCAGCAACAGCGGCCGGCACGCCCCCTGGCCACCGTGGCCAGCTCCCGAGGGACTGCACAGGGGCACAGTGGTCAGCGTGGGCCGCCCCACCCCGGCTCCCTGCTGATGGGTGCTCTGCCAGGCTAACAGCAGGGAGAGGAAGGAGGGAGAAGAGGGGAAGGGGACAGGGGGACAGGAGAGGGCACGAGAAGGAAAAGAGGCCTCCCAGGACACCTACTGGTTGAACAGGACCCGGGAGCGCACGATGAACTTGAAGATGTACTCCAGCGCTTTCATGGCTTTGTACAGCTGGTCATTCACTCCCGGCTTCTCGGCACTGTCCACGTAGTTCCGCAAAACCTTTGTCAGCTTCCTGTTGAGGGGGGAAACACGGCAGGGTAAGTTCAGAGCACGGACACCTCTTAATTCTTCCCTGTTATTTTCATCTTGGTTTCCTCGGATCAGTGTGTGCTTTCTCATAGAAGTCTCTGGCTCTTGGGGACACAGGTCTGCGCCCTTCAGAAGCACTTCCTGGCCTCAAGCTGCGGATCTAAGTCCGCTCGCTCGGTGTATCTAACTTGGTGTCACAGTAACTCAGTGAAGTGGTGCTGACCTTGCTCTGCAGATGAGGAAGACAAGGCGAAACGCCAAAACCAAGAAGATCCTCCCCACAGAGAAACAGCCACGATTGTTTTTCCAGAAACATATTGTGGAAGCGTCTGGAAGTTCTAACGCCCAGCGCGGGCTCTCAGCGCGGGCGTGGGACCGTGCATTCTATACTGGGTGAGTAAAGTTCACAATGGGGTACTCCACCACAATTAAAAGGGCACGATAAACAGTATTTGTTACTGGAAATCAACTCCACCACCTCTCCTCATTTTCATAGACTTTTTAAAAACCAGAGTTCTTACATTGAAAGTGAAAGCTGAAAAGCCAAATTTCAAATTGGAAACATTGTTGAATTTTTAATGGATTATCTAAGATTCATATTAAAAAGGTACAAACAATATATGAAAATAACATGGGTGGATACATGACTTCATATGGATGGATAAAGTTTAACAGTTTTCAACATTATTTAATAACAGAATCCCCCCAATATTATTAGCTTTAAAAGCATGATGACTGCACTTCTTATAGTCCTTGTATTAATAACTTGCGAGCTGAAAATAATTCCTAACATGAAAACATTAAGAACCTTATTTTTGAGAGTTTAGACAGTTTATAGCACAAAAAAAAAATAATAATCGGGATTGTTTTTACATTTTCCATCAAACCCCAGATGTTGTTATTGAAAATTGATAAAAATAAATTATACATTGGAAATTTGGCTGTAATTCATAGCTTATAAATTAAGCATTTATAGATATAGTTCTTAAAAGTTTGAGTAAAAACAAAGGAAAAAGCATTAATTTTTTTTCCATTTTGCTCAATTTCAAAAAACCAGCAAATTCAAATGAAAACAGATTTAGTCAAAGCCTCAGGATATGTAAAGAAGGTTAATTTAAATAAGCAAAAGTTGAGAAATATATTTTTAAAATAATCAACTCTATTAATAAATAACTACATGGATATTAAGATAATAAGACTGGGGTGTAGCTACCTGGGAGACACCAGACAAGCATGTGCCAGGCCCTGGGTTCCATCCCCAGCTTTGCTAAAGCAAGTAAATAACATAATAAGAAGTAAAACTCTACCTAGGACAGATAAGATATGGGGAATCCATACCACTGCTGGTAGAATAAACAGGGGGCAGTTTTAGAGGGAAAACTGGTAATACATGATACAATATCTATCAGTAACATCCATTTCAATTAAAAATAGTCAAATCTTTTGACAACAGCAATTGCTAATAATCTGCCATACCAAAGCAATTACAAATGTATTAAATCATGTTCACTGCAGAACATTGTCTATAAAAATACATAAACGGTGCACATGTCCACCATTCGAAGACTGCTTACACAAATCATGATACATCCTACATTGGATATTGCACACTGTTAAATACAGATGTTGGGGCTGGAGGGGGAAACTCCATCATCCCTACCATGGGAAAGGCTAGTTACGTTGCTATGCTGTTAAAAGAAAACAAGGCAGAGACAGAAGCTCTACTGTGAGTCCATCCTGTATTCTGCATTCTCTCCCACTGATATTTTGGCCATTTTTATGCTAATAACACATGATTTGTGTTCCTGCAAGTAGTTAAGTCTTGAAATCAGTTTCATCTTTTAAAAATTTATTGGGGTAATCTAGACATTCTGTATATTCACATAAATTTTGAAATCAGTTAACCAATTTTTCACAAAAGCATATTAGAATTTTGAATGGGATTGTGGTGAAACAATAAATTTGGGAAAAATGGACATTCAAGTGAGATTTTTTTCAATCCATGAACATGGTATACACCTCTATTTAGTTCTCGTTAAATTTCTCTAGGCAATGTTTTACAATGGGGGGGGGGTAGAGGTTTTACCCATCTATTATTAAATTTATTCCCTGGTATCTGATGATTTTTTCAATAGTAGAGAGTAAATAGCACAATACTTTTAATTTCATTTCCCAATTATTTGTACCCACAAAACTGATTGTTCTTTTTGGGTTATGTTTTGTTATGAATATGTAACTTGGCATTTTTTATAAAAAATCATAACACTTAAGGAATATAATGTAATGTGTTGACTTACGTTTACCCTGTGGAATTATTACACCATGTTTTGAAGCTCAACTTTCCTGCACTTACTAGTTCTAGTGATTATTTATCTGTTTGTTGGGTCTGAGGCTTGTCTCACACTGGATTCCGCCTGTGCATAATCACACTATGTGAGGATTCAGTTCAGTGCTTTCCCCCCTTTTAGCTAGTTTTCCTGCCTTATTGCACAGTCCCAGCATAATACTAAACAGACAGAGAGAACTGACATCCTTGCTCTGATCCTAAACTTAAGGGAAAGACTGTCAAAGTGAAGCTTTCAGTATGAGGTCAGCTACAACTTCAGTCCAATTTTTGTTTTGTTTTATCAGATTGAAGAATTTCTCATCCGTTCCTACTTTGCTAAGAGGTTTGATCATAAATGGATGCTGACTTTCATTAAGTGCATTTTCTGCTTGACTGAGACTTCCAGCTAAAAGCACAGAGCTATTAATGTTCCGTTGGTGCCAACAGAACTTCCTGCAGTTATGGGAATCCTCTGTAACTGAGCTGTCCAACGTGGCAGCCGTTCACCATATGTGGCAAGGGGGCACTTGAAATGGACCAAGTGCAATCAAGAAAATGGATTTTCAATCAAATTTTATTTAAGTAGCTCCTGAGTCCAGTGCTGTGAGTTTGGACAGTACAGGTATTGATGGTACCTTCGGTCAGGCAAAGACATTTTAGTCATGGAACTGAAATCCATATTGTCTTTTAAAACGACAAATCAGGCTTCAAAAAAAATTTCAAATTTCTGCTCATCAAAAGACACCAAAAGGATCATCAAGGCACAGTCAGGGAAAAGGGTTCAAAATTCATGTCTGATTCTGTCCATCTCTGTCTGTGTATGTACATGTACATGTGTGTATGTAGAGATCTCTTACAAATCAATACTAAAAAGATACGCAAAAGAATCAAAAATTAAAAGGTGATGTAAACAATCCATTCAAAACTAGCAAATAAAAAATAAATAGGCACTAACTATCTTAAGTGGTCAGGTTACCAATAATGAAAATCACAGAGATATCAATTTGTCCTCCTCACAATGGCTCTAAATGAGAAGCCAGACAATGGGAAATACTGACGAGGATATACTGTGCACGGAATGCCCAGGGATTGCGGGGGGATTACAAATGGCACAGGCATTGTGGAGAACCAAGGGGCAACTCCTTGTGGAGTAAACCACACAGCACAGAAAGGAGACACAAAGGAGATCGGTGGTGCTGGTTACGTTGTAGGACAGTCCCCAAAGTTAACACCTCCCTCCCTTTCACTTGGACCAGAGCCGGTCACTTCCATGATGACTGGGTGCAAAAACAGTCATTCCCATTGCCCAGATCCTTCATTTCTTCTCTGGCAGAGGAAAAAATGGGAAGGACTCTCACCACATTTATCGAAGGAAAGAGACTCTGTAGAAGGCAGTGCTCCCTGATTTGGTTAGAAGTGCGAGGTCAATACTGACTCCTCTGGTATCTCAAGGTATAAATACTCATGTTCCCATTGCTGAGAACCCACCTGAGCTGGATAGTTGATCAAAACATGATAAGAATATTTATTTTCCCAAATAAAGATGGGCCTTTGTGCATTTGCAGAGATTGAATGGGAGGGTACTGATTCTTATCTCAGTCCCAGCAGAGATGACAGATAAAATGGTCCTTTGCTATGTGTCTCCCATTGAGCCAGTTGCCAGAACTCCCCCATTTTCACTTTTCTGGCTGGGAACATGAGAGCACCCCTCCCCCAACAGCACAGCACAGCACAGAGAGGCTGGTGCCAGCAAGGGCGGACCCTGTGCCCGGCTCATCCTTGCTGTCCTTTTCTGAAATTAAAGTGCAAAGTCTAATCCAAAGACAGCTGTCTGGCCACTTCAGACAAGGAGAGTCAGGATGGCAGCCACACATGGACATCATCTCACACTCACAGCAACCCCGGTCACAGCCATGAACCTGCAGGGTCAGGTCTCAGCCGCCACTCAACCTCCATCCCCTGAGGTCTGTGAAGAGCTACTCAACACAAAAACAAACTGCCATCTCCACTGGGCGAACAAAACGTTTTAAACAAAAATTTATTAGCCAAAGACTCATAAAAGACAGGTCGCAGCTTGCTCTACACGCTTGAGGACATTTTGCATCTCTCTGCCCACCCGGCGGCTCCACCCACCAGCCTGCAATAAAGATGCAGGCGAGGCAGGACAGAAAAGGTCTAGGCACAGGACCAGGTGGTCACCGGCCAGCTTCTGGAGGCAGGCCCCGTGTGTGACCTTGAGCCTGAGGCTACGCACAGGCAGGGAATTCAGATTTTAACTACTCAAAACCCAGATGGGATCTGGGACTCAAATCTGTGGACACTAGAAAGAATTATTTCCAGTGATTCTATTCTTAAAGAAATGTTGTGAATCTTTGTTTTCACCGCAACCTGCACAATACACACTTAGAAGAAATGCCAATAAATCCCACCAGGAGAAAGCAAGCGTCACACCATAATAACTCTAATGATAAGGAAACCCAACAACTGCTTACTGCTTTCTAAGCATCAGGGATTTTCCCAAACACTCTACATGTAATAACCCATTAAAATTCTCAAACAACTCTAGAGCCATGTCCTTTTCCACAGACAAGAAGCCTGAAAACCAGAGAGGGTGGTCAACTTGCCCAAGATCACAGAGCTTCTAAGTGACAGAGTGGAGCCAGACTCCAAGACTACACTGTCAACCTCAAGGCCCAGGTACAGCCCAGGTGTGCTGCCGTTCTCTCAGGTACCTTTGGGATACAAGTCAGTCAGAGCTGAGTGTTGTGGAGCCACAGGGAAGGCAAGGAGATACACGAAGGGAACAAACCGCATTGTATGCACACCACAGGACCAGCCACCTCCCAACAGGGGCACATCCATGAACTCTAGTGCCTGCTGGGGACCTGAAGTGTGGCAGACACTCTGTGCCCACAGATCAGCCTCGTCGAACATGAGCCGAAATCTCCAAAGATAAATGGAAAGTAGGGAGGAGAAGAAGAATTCATTCCAGAACGCTAGGATAATTTATCACGTATCTCTTTCAACAAGATTGTTAGGTCTGTTAAGAGGGAAACAGTAATAAAAATTATCCCAGTGAGTTCAAGGTTCTAAAGAGGAAAATGTACAGTCACAGCCAAAAGTTGTACAAAAAAAAGACTCTGAATATTAACCATCAAGAAAGAGAAGTGCTGGTTTTAGAACAGATAAAAGAACTCACGTGTAGGCCAGCGTCGCGCTGAAGTGTTTCTTAATGTAGGTCTCCAAAACAGGGTTAAAATGCTGGAACTTTCTATCAGCAATTAGTCCAATGATAAAAACCTGTCAATTAAATCAGCAATATTTTCGTTCACAACATGATGATAACCCTTCCAGAGCCTTCGTCTGGCAGGTCTATGAGAGGAAATGAACCATGACATTTCCAGGCAGCAGCCAGTCCCCCTTCGTGTCTTCCCACCCGACAAGGCGCGTACACAACTACAGTTCCACATGGAAAGGCACTTCCCGCCTGCCAATGCCTTCCCTTTGACCCGATTCACAAGTCCCTCTTTGAGGGGACAGTGGGCAGCTCCCCCACCCGCCCCAGCCGCACTAGGAAAAGCCCCAGCAGGGAAGGGAGGCCCCTTACCAGAGCATCAAACACCAGCGTGTCGAAAGTCTCACTCTCCGAGTTCTCCATCATGATGTTGAAGAGGGCGTCCAGGGTGTCCTGCAGGAACTGCACAGACACAAGAGCTCAGGGGAGACCGGCCCAGCACCCCGTCCCCCAAGTAGAACCCCACTGCCTCTGGTAAGACCCCAAACCCCCCCTGGCCCCAGGGATGCCCATAGAGCACCTCACATCCGTGGATTTTCAGCCATTAGATGCTCAAGGAAAAAACCTCGAGAGTGAATCCCAAGCGGACACATCACCCGAGGGAAGCAGAGGGGGGCCAGAGCTGCAGACCCCACCCCAGCCCAGCCCCAGGACCTTCCCAGCCCTCGGTCCGGTTCCCATAAAGCTGGTGACCAAGTATTGGGTAGCTACTCCAGGAAGAAGGATCTGATCTGTCTGCACACACTAAGTGCAGGACGTGAGCCAGCGAGGGATGAAGCCACATGGGGTCAGGTCCTGCTGAGAATAGAAAGGGCCTTCCACCAGGCAGAACGCCGAGGACGGAAGAGGAGTGTGATTCCGAAGCTGACGTCCCCAGCAGTGGGCCAGAGACACACCTCCAACAAAAGCCCATCAATTCTAGTCTACTAAAATTCACCAAGAACAGGACCCTGCAGAACAGAGGCACTGGGAGTCAGGAAAACTGAGGCTTCCAGGGTGAGCACAGCAGAAGGAGCCAAGCCCTCCCCCTGACTCCCGTGAGGGCAGGTAGGATGGACTGGAGGGGGTGGACTGGAGGGGATGGGCTCCTAGTGACGGGTCCTTGCACAGGCAGCATGCCCGGAGTGGGACTGGCCATGCAAAAGAAGGAACCGGATATGGAGTATAGCTTAAGGTCTGGTGTAGTGATGCCTCCTGCTTCACTCTTCCTACTAAGGACGGCGTTAGCTATTCTGGGTCTCTTATTTTTCCAGATGAATTTCATGGTTGCTTTTTCTATTTCTATGAGGAATGTCATTGGGATTTTGATTGGAATTTCATTAAATCTATATAGTGCTTTTGGTAGTATGGTCATTTTGACAATATTAATTCTGCCTATCTAAAAGCAAACTAGATCTTTCCATCTTCTAAGATCTTCTTTAAGTTATTTTCTAGTGTTCTGTAGTTTCATTGAGAGGTCTTTCACCTCTTTTCTTAACTTGATTCTCAAGTATTGTATTTATTTATTTTTTGATGCTATTGTAAATGGGGTAGTTTTCCTAGTTTCTCTTTCAGAGGATTCATTACGGATGTACAGAAATGCATTTGATTTATGAGTGTTGATTTTTATATCCTGCTACTTTGCTAAATTCATTTATTAGTTCTACAAGTTTTTTTCATCATGTCAGATTAGACCCCCAACTTCCTGTTGAGCGCCACAGCCAAAGGGGCCCCAGCAAACTTCCAGCTGCCGGCTGATGATTGGCTCACAGCGGCCCCAGCAACA